AGAGCTCAGTGTCAAGGAAACAGCTCTCAGTTTGAAGAGTTTAATTTATTACAGCGTAAGGTCATGCTGATCCTACAGCCATACTTGGTTTTTTGCTAAGTCTTGCTGGCTTCCCCCAGTTTGGAGGTGCTGAGTGATGATTGCCAGTAATGGTGTCACTGAAAATTACACAGATGTTACCATTATACAATTTTAGCCTTAAAAAAAAAAAAAAAGGCTTAGTGCTATTTTTTTGCTGCTTCCAAGACCCCCGGGTTCAGCCTTTTTCTATTTTCCCACAGTTTGTACAGCAGAGCTTTTCAAAAGAACATCTCTTCTTACAAAGAAAACATGAATGTGGGACAAAACACATTAAGTAACGAAAGATACTGGGAGTCGTTATTAGTGAAGTGTGAGCTTCCCAGCCACTTTGATATTGCAAAATATTTTAATGCGATGCAGATGTATTCAGCTCCCATACAGAGGGATTTTCACAAGCAAGCTTGGCAAAAAAGGAGCATGAATACAGAATGTCACTGACTTTGACAGTCATAGCGTTCTTATCCCCTTTGCTATTATTTCAGATATTTGGATATAAGAAGTCTCTGGCTCACAGCTTAGCTGGGATCCTGCAGTGAAGAAGAATACTTTGTGCTTCTATAGTCCGGGGCATCTGAAGATTGCAACATACTTTATAAAGGTGGGTAAATATCACTTTCCTCATATTACTAATAAAAAAAAATAAGGCACAGAGGCTGCTGCTCTGTTCAAGTCACACAGTGAGCTAGTGGCACAGATGAGTCCAGAACCACAGTCCTATACTATAACCACCAGACTGCACTGTCTCGCCCCCCCTCCCCTGTCTTTGTAACATCAGCATTTGCTACCATCAAAATTAACGTGACGTCAGGAACTCAGAACAACAACTGTAATCCAAGGTCATGTCACAACACACAGGCCGGGGGGCTGGATGAATTATGTGGTTGGTAATAGGTTATGGTAGGGTGCTCCTGTGATAAAGAGACAGAACTAGCGGGAAGGGCATCTTGGATATAGTTCATTGACTCCCCATGGGACTCTGGGCAAGGAACTTAACCTCCCTGTCCCTTGATGTCTCCATCTGTGAAATGGGAACACCAACCCTGACCTCAGCAGAGTGCAGAGACCTCATTCATTTGCGTCTGACATGCTAAAAGGGAGGTGCTAGACACAAGTGCAAAGCATTATACCTCTGAGCTACGGCAGGCCATCAGTAACCCAAAGTCGTTACCCTGCGACGCCTATGTAAAATGAGTCTCTCTCAGTCCATCACCCGGAGGGCACATATCCACGTCATAAAAGCAGCACTCTGATCAGCACGAAACAGCCACTCAGAAAGCCCCAGGGTGAGATGAGCCACGAGGACTGATCTCCCCTCTAAATCAGGGGTGAGGCATGCCAGAGAAGGAAGCATACGCTGCCTCTACCTGCGTTGTGCCCATTCTGTGACTAAACGGAGCACTTTTCAGAGCTGTCAGCCTGGCACCTTTCCTCAGCCCTGGGGGGGAAGAATTGAAAGAGAAATATCAACCTCCTCTCCCCCCTGGGCTGTGGTTTTGAGGAAAGAAATGCTCATTTAAATGTCTTTGATCATTAGCAAATATCTCCCTGAAATGTCACTAGAAAACGACAGATAATGGTGAATGAATTCATGTTTAAAATTGATTTTCTGAGAGCTTCTTTCACTATAAAGCTCCCTCGCATACTGCAAAGGGCACACAGCCCAAGGTACACAGTAATTGCTGGCACTGGGTAACAGATACTGATGGATGATGTCTCCGTGCACGGCCCAGCACAACTCTTGTGTATAATGGACAGCGCTTAGTTTGTGCTTATGCATTCCAACAGGATAACGACATTTCAGGCCCGACTCCAATCTCAGTGACACTGGAGGAAATCTGGACTGACTCCACTAGAGTTACTCCATATTTGCACTAATCTCACTGAAATCAGGATCGGGCCCATCAGCAGGAGGCTTTAAGGAGAGTTGTATTATACATTCTTAACTGGAGACAGGACCAACCCCAACCCCTGCGTCCAAACAGTGCCAGAATTTGGAGAATGTTTGGATCCAGCTCCTACAAGAGACATCACCAAAACTCACGCCCTTTAGATTTTAATGCAGATCAGGGCTACAAGGCTTAGGCCCCACTGCAGCACTGACATGCCTAAGAAAACTCACCCAAATAGGATCCTGGGTCGGCTCTATTCAAGCCACTCTAGCGTCACGCAACTCAAGGGAAGACTCTTACCCCACCGTGGGGGTGAATTTACCAGCTTGGTCTGCTGATACTTTTCCACTGAAGAGGGGTGGGGATCAAACATGGAAACCAAGATTCCCACCACATGTAAATCCTATTTAAGGCTGGAGAGTGAGTTAATCAGGGTCGCTGGTTCGTCACGGACTCCCCGCCCAGGATGACTGCTGTAAACACGTAAAACTGATCGGGGGAAAGGACTGGGGCCCAGGCTGTGACAGGGATCTGGCCTGTGAAGAGAAATATGTGGAACTTTAAGTGCAAGCAAAAGCAGTTTGTCTTCAAGGAACTCTGCAACCTGCCCAAAACAACATTTAGGGTGAGAAATTACTATTTGTAAGCAGTTTCTTTAGTGAATTCAGCTTAGTTTGCGTGTTTGTTTATTTTGCTCAGTGATCTGCTTTGATCTGTTTGCTATCCCTTATAATCCCTTCAGATCTGTCCTTTGTAGTTAATAAACTTGTTTGTTTCAGTTTCCTATAAACCAGTTAGTGCCATTTATAACTGGGGGGGTGGGGGCGGCAACAAGCTGTGCATATCTCCCTCCACATTAAGGGAGAGGGCGATTTTTATGAGCTTACGCTGTATAGATCGCTATACAGCGCAAGGCAATATAATTTGGGGTTTACACCCCAACGGAGGTGTTTACTTGAGTACTGGGCAATCCCCGAGCTGAATCCTCCCACACAGCGCTGATTTCAGCCTCTGTGTCTGTTTGCAGCTGGGTGTGGCCATACCTGTGTCTGCTAGAGGAGGCTTGAGGGCCTGGCACAGCAGGACAGGGTGAGGAAGCCCCAGCTGGTGGAACGGGCGGGCTCAGTGGGACCCCAGTACATCAGGTGGCACCCCAGATGGGAGGCAACCTGTCACACTCACTACACCCCGTGAGGGAGAGAAGAGCTATTATCTCGAATTTACAGAATTCAGCCACAGAGGAGCTAAGGGACAGTCTACACTGAAAATTTACATCAGCATAGCCACATCTCTCAGCGGGGAGGGGAGGGGAGGGGAAAATCCATCCCCCTGAGATATGCAGACATAACCCCCAGGGTAGATAGCGCTGGGTTGACGGAAAAATTCTTCTGTCGACCTAGCTACGGTCTCTGAGGAAGATGGCTTATCTGCGCCAATGGGAGAACCCGTCCCATCACGGTAGTGAAAATGCCCACACCGAAGCACTGCAGCAGCATTATAAGTTTAGACGGAGCCTCAATGACTTGCCGAGGCCTGTGGCACAGCAGGGAACTAAACCCAGGTCTCCCAAGCTAATACCCTGACCTCTCTTTCAATCCCCCTTCCTCAGCAACCGAGATGTTTTGAGAAGTCTGGTATTTGTACCATCCCAGGTCCACGCAGTTCACTGAATCAAACACTGAAATGGGGCGGGGGGGGGTGTTAAGTGGTTAATTTAAAAAATAAATCCTAGGGAAAGAAAATAGCCCAACAGGATGAGATTCACCAGTGCAGAGCACTTCTGAAAGTCTCATCCCTAAACAGGAGCGGAGCTCTTTGGAATACCTGGCCCCAACGTTCTAAGCGTTGCTGAAGAGGACTCGGGTCTTTACTGAGGTTTGTGACGAATGCTCTAGCCCTCAACAGGAAAAGTAGAGAGGAATCCAAACCCTGCGGACCATTCATCTGAAACCACACACTCCCAAGCTTTGCAGGGGCAGATGAAATGGGGCCTGCATCCCAGTCACTCCCGCAAAACATACCCTGACTGATGAGGTCCAAAACCAGAATCACATCCATTTCTGTCCATCCCTAATTTAGAACCATCGTTCAAACACCTTTTCCATGACTCAACAGGGCCAGATCCTCCTCTGGGGTAAATCGGCATAGCTCCCATTGACTTCAGTGGAGTTACTCCAATTTACACCAGTGGAGGATCTGGCACGTCGCCATCAAAAGCTGAAGCTGGGTGGGTTAGGAACGTTTCTGCCACAACTGCAGCTGACGTACGAACCTGTCTAATATCGAGACGCTGCTTTGAACAACTCCGTTTCCATTTCTGACTCTGAATAGAGCAGCCCGGGGCCAGGTCTCCCCCACGCCACGATCAAACTACCACCATGATGCAATGGAAAGCAAATCCCGGTTCTGACATCACAGTTCAGTCCCATCACCCCAGCCGATAACTATTCGACTCAGGCTAGTCCTTCCGACTGCCACGCTCTCCAGGCCCCTGCGCTGCCAGCTTTGCTCACGGCACGCTCAAACGCTTGCAAAGACAAGTGCCCTCCTTACAGGGGTGAGAAATGTGTCATCTGGGTAACTCGCTTCATTTAGAGACACAAGAGGAAAGACAGGCACCACAGAAATCAGAGATAGAAAAGGCCTAGGAAGTCATCCTGTCCATACCCCTGTATTGTTCCAGACAGAACGTGCCTTAGTGCTTTGCCCGAGCAAACGAGACAGGAGGAAAGAGCAAAGACGGGGAATATGAAAAAACAAACAACAGAATTAACGAAGCATTAAATGCACGTCATTCGGGTTGTTGGGAATTCACAGAGAATACTGTGCATCGATCCACTCTCCCCACAACAGGACATCTCTACTCGGAGGATCACAATCTCGGTGTTAACCTGAAGGTATTTTGTGCGGCATTGATTATAAAAAACAAGCAAACGCACAAAAAGCTTCTCGTTTACAACAAAACTACATTTCCCAAATGATCAAGTGACTAGAACTGCCTTGGCCATGTAGTTGGAGCGAGTTACCTACCGGTTTGGGGCAATGAATGTATCTAGCGAGACTGATGATCAAGTCATGGGTGATTGGATCCACCAGGTTTCGGAAGCTGGCATATCTATACAGGACGTCATCCAGAGAGGTTGATTCCATTCCTAAGTCCTGCAGAAAACAAGAGCAAGGTTAGTTACGCTAGGAGGTCGATGGCAACAGCCCATCTCTCACAATTCACCTGTGTTGGCAGTCTCAGGGCAGTAGCCAAGGAGCTCAGACGTGCCCGTCTCTAAGTACCTTGGCGCGTTGGCGTGGGGACACTTGCACGCCAATGCTTTACCTGTACTATGGAGAGCAGACATCAGGCTCCAGGGCTGTCAACTGGCACGCTTCATAAGCAATACATTCACTGAGTAAACTATACTCAGCAGGCTGATTCGCCTCTCACTCCCCCAGGGCAAGCCACAGGTGACTCCACTGAAATCAACAGAACTATGCCAGCATAAGATGGCTGGGAGGCAGAATCGGGCCCAGGGTGTCCCAAGACACAGCAATGTAAGGCATTTTGGCACAAACCCCACAACACTATTAAACACACTAGTGTAGATCGACCGTTCCGCTCTTTAGCTTTTCATAAAGGGTTGGAGGGGGGGATTAAATACAGTGTATTCAATTTATTTCAGATATCTTCTCTCATCTACTAGCGGTCCTTTGTCCCTCGAGAGCAGCTCCCCGGGGAAATTGCAGTGCTACTCAAGCTTATTGGCAGATTACCGCACGTTCCGCAAACAAAGCAGCTACTTCTGTAAGATAAAGCCCTTTGCTCAGCTTTTAATACAACAAGGATGCCCTTGTGGTTAGGGCACTGGGCAAGGACTCTGCAGATTGGTTCAATTCCCAGCTCTGTCACAGACTCTGTCTGACCATGGGCAAGTCACTTAAATCTCTCTCTGCCTTGGTACTGTGCCTGTAAACTAGGGTGTGACGGGCCTGGGTTTCAATCCAGGCCAGTGAGGGGTTGTGTCACCACTTGGCCTGTAGCCCTCTCGTGAACACACACACGCACGCACACCCTTTCACAGTTGGGATAATATTCCGTCCTTCTCGACACCTAGCATTCTAGGCACCATCTTCAAAGTGCAACGCGCACAGAGGTGAAAGTAAGCCAGTCCGGTCCAGTACGTGGCGAACTGGACCGGCTTCTCCGGCGGTGATTGAAAGGGCCCAGAGCTCCGGCCCCTGCAGGGAGCCCCGGGCCCTTTAAAGCAACACTCGAGCCCCTCTGCCGGAGCTCCGGCGGCACTTTAAAGGGTCTAGGGCTCCCCAAGGTGGCAGGAGCACCAGGCCCTTTAAATCCCTGCTCTAGCCCTGCTGCCCCGGGATAATGGTGGCAGGGCTCCCGCGGTGATTTAAAGGGCCCGGAGCCCTGGGCTCTTTCATTCACCCCTGAGCCCCAGGGCTCCCAGCCGCCTCTGCAGCTGGTAGCTCCAGGGTGATTTAAAGGCCCTGGGGCTCCCAGCCACAGCCGGAGCCCCAGGGCCTTTACATCTTGAAAGGCCCCACCTCTTCCGGTTGAGGCCACGCCCCCGCTCAGGACTCCAGCGTATCGGTAAGTACTTTAAGTTACTTTCACCCCTGAATGCGCACCAACACAGCAGTGGTCAAGCTTGCCTCCTGTTCCGTAAAGTGCTTCTGTCGACAGACCCCTGGGCCTGGCCAGAGAGGGAAATTCACCGGCTGCACCTGCCTTCACAGGACAGCATGGAATTGGTGCTTTAAGAGTTAACACTAGATTTAGTATGGGAGGTGGCTACGCTCCCCCAAAAGCTGCCCCTGGTCTGTGTCAGTGAGTAATGGTGACATCCTGCAACTCATGACTTCTCGTGTGGGTTTTGTGAGCGAGATCAGCTAGCTCTCCCTCTGGATGACCCATTTGCCGGCTGAACCCAGATGCCAAGCAGCACGTACGCAACCCCTGCACTCAGATCAGTCACGTGCTGCACATTTCAGATCCTGACCGGCTGCCTCCATTTGCCCTCACGGAGCTGATGGGGGCCCTCACGCTTGGCCAGGAAGGAATGGAGCCATGTGAATGTTCCCCAAAGCGGACCCTGGAAATAGGGCAAGATGGGAACACAAAGGGGATGTCTCTAGAGAGAAAAAAAATCAGGAAGGACCAAAACAAAAACCACAATCCAATGCAGAACAGCCTAGATATTTTAAAAAGGGCCGGACAGTCTCACTGCCCCATATCACACCTGTAGCTGTGACGGCCTGGATAATGATCAGACTAATCAGCTGCATGCTTCAGGGCACAAGCTGCAGTCAGGAGCCATTTCCCTTGTCCTCACACTACACAGTAGGTGGTGCTAACTTTTTATGTGGACAACCATTTTATAGCAGGGAGAGAATCTCCCGCACCCACCTCCCCCAATGTCCTTACTGCCTGCTTCTCAAGGTCTCTTACGGGACGCATGGTCCCTGGACAGGGTGACCAGATATCCCGCTATTCAGGGCTTTGTTTTATATAGGACCCTATTACCTCCCCCCGTCCCGATTTTTCACACTTGCTATCTGGTCACCCTATCGCGGGGGTCACATTTTGAGCACACTGGGGTGAGGCACTCTGGGACAGGACACTGCATGGGATGTGGTCAGGTGCTGGGCACTTCCAGAGATAGGTTAGCAGACTAGATAAAAATGTGCTCCGATCCTGAAGAGCAAGTGTAGCTCCTTAGATCCGTGCACAAAGGATCCCAAAATGCTTTGCAATCACCCTCTATGTACAATCCACAGGAATCAATTAAACTCCCACTAAAATTCAGCCAGTGACAAAATGCAGCCTGGCAACTGTTTCAGAGTTAGAAGAACTGAGCTTTTCCTGAGAGAGAGATTCTTTGCACAGGTGACCTGATGCTCTTGGAGAAAAGAGGGTCTTTTCTTTTTTTAAATGGGACGACAGTAAAGTATAAATTAGCAACCACCCAAAATAAATAAATAAATAAATAAAATAAAAAGCCAATTTATAGCCCAGATAAGTAGACTCCAGGAAAACTATTGCAGCTTCTCCAGGCTTGTCTTAAGGAGAAGGGCGAGTAAAGCGTAATGGTAGCTGTAGAGCAGGAGTGACAATGACATTGTGGGTGCTAACTCCAGCAGTCATCGGCTAAGTCACATATCATATGGGCAGCCTACGAAACTGAACTGGAGACTTTCTGAGCCAAAGACACAATTCTATACCCTTGTATGAGACTCTCGATTAGCTGTGAGTAGAGCTATAATCATAGCCGCATTAGGATATGCCAATTAAGCTACAGAGTCCAGCCATATGGACTGACAGTATCCAGCACGAAAGCTTTTCTGATTAATTGTATGCATCATGGAAGCACCGAGGGCCCCAAATGAGGAATCAGAGCCCCGTTGTGCGAGGTGACAGCCAAAAGATGGTCTTGAATAAAAGTAGCTGAAATTCCCAAACTTATCCACTGGATCGAAGGTGGGGAGGGGATGCAGAAGCAGCCTCTCTAAGACCAGTACATAATTCTGCTTCAGGACCTTGTAGAAAACACATCCAAAATTCTTCTTTGCTGGCCGTTGTGTGCGCATGCCAACATTTTCAAAGATGGAGCTTAATATGGAATCATTCAGGAGACTGAAGAGAACAATGACAGTTCTCCCTGTCCCAAAAAAATCTTTTGCCCATCAAAGTCCATCCCACCCTAGAGCCACACCTAAGGCCTGGTCTACACTACGACTTTAATTCAGATTTAGCTGCGTTAATCCGAATTAATCCTTAACCCGTCCACACAATGGAGCCAGTTACTTCGAATTAAAGGGCACTTAAAATCGATTTCTGTACTCCACCCCGACGAGCGGAGTAGCACCAAAATCGATTTTGTTAATTCGAATTAGGGGTAGTGTGGCCGCACACCACCGAATTAATGTGGTTAAAATTAATGGGGTAGTGTGGCCTCACACCACCGAATTAATGTGGTTAAAAACCGAATTAATGTGCTTAGTGTGGCCACGCACAATCGAATTTATACAATCTGTTTCCCAAATTCGAATTATCTAAATTTGAATTAATCTCGTAGTGTAGACGTACCCTAAGAAAGGAGACTTTCAGATGGAAAGGCAGCCTTGGTCCTAGCAAATTAACTCATAAAAGGGGGCAGACTTCTAGGGTAGCAAGCAAAGCAGATTCTCAAAGATAGATGCCTGCTGTCAGAAACTCCATCCATCTGTGCTATTAATCTCCCTCATCATTCGTAATACATCAAAGGCTTAACAGCCTTTTCCACAATTGGGTGTGGAGACAATTCCACACCCAGCTGGTCCTCCATAGACTTCACCTCTGAAGTTCCATCCCAACCAAGGAGAGATTCTGTTGCAGAACACTTTAAATCCTTCAGACTCAGATGCCTGCAGAACGCAAAAATCAGCTGTTTTTTCTCAGAAATGGGAGGCTTGAACCTGGAACCCTTCAGCTTTCATCTAGACTCAAGGCCCAACAGAAATACAAATGGATGCTAAACCAGCAGCCAACAGAGTAGCTGTAGGAGCTTTACACATACAAGTAAGCAACACCAGGAAGCAACAGCAAGCCCTGTCCTGCCATGTTTGGGCTGGTTCTCATGAAAGCACTTGTACCGATGGATTTTGTGCAGTGAATTACGCACCTCAATGAAAGTCACTCTGTTCTTCTCGTTTGAGGCATGCATAAAAAATAGACGCTAACTTCCACTAAGTTGGTAAAACTCGGTGTAAGTAGTAAGGTAGCAAGAGGCATTGTCCTGATATGACTAGAGCAGACACACTTTGCCTGCCACTGGAATGCAGGAAACGACACAGATCGCTATCGCATTTAGTTTTTCAAAAACGTTGCACATGGAAGCAGAAGTTGTGTCATTTTTAAAACCAGGTTTAGCAGGTCATTTAATCTCTCTCCGCCTCTGGTTTCCCCATCCATAAACTGGGGATAACACACATACAGCTCACAAGGGATTTCTATGACGATTATTAGCTAATGGTTATTCGGCACTTTGAACACAATGAACAGTGAGATCTGTCCTAAGCAACAGACAAAAGATGAATTGCATAACAGATTGGGCCTGTTTCTCAATTGCCCTGCTCCCGGTGCATTCACACCAGTACAAAGTGGCTGTCAG